AACAACAGCGAAACACTGAATAAAACTTTCCACAAGCACGGTTTTGGATAAGCTACTTACTAATTCCATTTGGTGAAGCGCACATTTCACGATGTGCTTTGCTAGCAGAGACAGACAGGAGAGCAGCTAATACCATTAATGAACGGCGGAGAGCTAGTTGGGTAACTAACTTACCTCTGAATAATGTGTTTCTTACGGGGCCACTCGGGCCACGGTTGATGGATGGCCTTACAGAAGCCGGGTCAATTAGCCAGGCTGGATTTCCCTCCATGTCGGCTGCAAACAGCACGGGGAAAGCTCCAACCTCTGTCACGAGGCCTGGCTGTAATTAATCACCGGTGTGGGGCCTTCTCACCTCACACCGCCGCGCGCACAAACAGCCGATACGTACGTTTGGCCCAAATTACATCCCCGCTCCTCTAATCTGGCTAATTGTCAATATTATACCCAGAGGAGGAGAAAGATCGTGATATAAAAACTCTTACCTACCGACAAAAAGACCAGTCCTCCTGCGCAGTTTGCAAAGACAAACCTGATGTTTTGCAAATGTACTAACAAGGCAGACCTAAAAAAAATAAAATAAAAAGTGAAACAATGAGAGGCAGGTAGGCCTACGCAAAATTAGAACAGTGTAAATCAATAATGGGGTGGCACAGACTGGCTTTGCTTAATGTTTTTGTTAACACAACTAATGTTCCCAACACTAAAAACTAAAACAGGAAGTTGGTCACTCCAAATTTCACTGGCGCAAAAAACTCCATCTTAGAGTATAATGTTTACTAACGCTTTTAATGCACATACAGTAAAACTGCTCTATGTTAAATTATGACCAGAAACCCTATCCATATAAAGTACTAAGAATTGATCAATGACTGATCTAAATCTACATAAATAAATAAGAACTCATACATTTAACATTATAAAACTTGTCAGGTTTGATAAAGTGCTCGATGCAAGATCAGAAACGGGATCTGAGCATTATCGGAGGAACATATAATGACTGTTAAAATGTAATTTTAAATTAAAAAAAGCTATTACTGTGCAGTTTCTCTCTCTCTCTCTCTCTCTCTCTCTCTCTCTCTCTCTCTCTCTCTCTCTCTCTTTACACACACACACTAACGCCCAGGTACACAAAGCACAGATTGAGAGGCAGGGACAGAGACATCACTCTGTTCACAGAACACACTCCTGTGGTGTGGACAAAAGCAGCAGGCTGACAGATGAGGTTTGTGTCTGGGGGCAGGGGAGCTATGTGTTGCTGCTACTGTGCTCTGTGTGTGTGTGTTTGTGTTTTGTTGCTTATGCATATGTGCATGCATGCATGTCTGAGTATGTGTGTGCACCTATATGTGACTGTGCATGTGTGTGTGTGTTTACATGTGTGTATATGTGTGTATATATGTGTGTATGTTGTTGGGGGGGTGGTCTCATGGGGCAGCTCTGTGTCTGTCCCATCTGCCACCCCACTCTACTGACACCCAAGGGAATGGCAGAAGGGGTGGGGGATTCATTTTGGAAAAAGGAATCGGGGTCCAGTGGACTAATGGGCAACAATGCAGGTTTTACTGACCGGCCAAAAGCAAAGGACACTGGCTGGGTGTGTGGAAACCAATCTATTTGACAAAACAGTGGGCCTCCCCTGTCAAGCTCTGCCTCAGTCTGCCTAATAAGGCACACCCCTGAAAATTATGCCTCAAATGAGAAGGGGGTGCACTGTATTTTACACACACACACACACACACACACACACACACACACACACACACACACACACACACACACACACACACACAGACGTTGCATACACCCGGGGCTAATGTCAGCCTAATGCATGTCCATGCTGTGGCCGGAGGGCTAATTGGGTATATAAACACAAACACATCCCTTGAGAGGCAAGAGGGGAAGGGTGTATTTTGTGCTATATGCTCCTCCTATTGTAAGGAAGACAATGCTGTAACTTAAACATGGAGACTCATCAGTACTTTATCTGTACCGATAATGAAAGATGACATGGTTTTTGCTCTCATATGCCCTGCTGCTAGATGCTCTTTTGAAGCTGTGCGTGCAGTGTGATGTGGAACGACTTGGTGGCAGGTGGCATCTCATCCTGTCTTTATCCAAACTGTGATCATGAAGACAGTAAATGGCGCCGCTGCAGCCACTACAGCAACAACAAAACAGTCATGTGGAAGAGGAGCATATGGCTCCTGCACCACTGGGCAGAAGGAGTGCTCAGCAAGATGAATGCTGAGGTGCCGGCAACAAAGCTGACTTTAACTTGTCAAATTAACAGCATATCAAAAGAGAGAGAGAGGGAGAGTGGGAGGGATGAGGAGGAAGAGGCAGCAGCCTGAGCTTTTTTGACAAGTGCTACTTGATGATGACAAAGACGGCACAGAGAGAAGCAGTGACTTGCTGTCGAGGTCAGATCACAGACAGACACTGTCACATGTTTGAAGTCCTTGTGTCTCTAACTGTCACTGAGTAGAGTTACACTGTTTGTCCATACATGTCTCATACAAACACACACACAAATGCATCCACTGGGTGCTACCCTGCCATAGCACCCACTGCTTTGAGCTCTATGTTAATGAAACAGTTGCTGTTTCCTGGCATAACATTAATTACCCGATCAAAATAGAGTGGGTAATTAACTGCCCTTCTTTACCAGTGCTAATTACATTAGCAGAGAAGGGTCATTTGAGGGGAGCAAAGGAGAGGTGAGAAAGAAAGACAGGATGAAGCGGTACCAAACAAAGACTGAAAAACAAGGCAGTGGTGAGGCTCTTGCCGACGTGTGTGTGTGTGTGTGTGGGTGTGTGTGTGTGTGTGTGTGTGTGTGTGTGTGTGTGTTTTAAGAGAGAGAAAGAGACAGAGAGGAGGAGGCCACGTTGGAGGGAGACTCATGTGTTTCTCACTTGGGGCCCCCAGAGGCTTGGTCCTTAGAGAAAAGCAGGCTTATTGGAGAGGAGAGAGATGGGGGGAGGAGGGTGTTGTTGTTTATCTTGACATGCTCTACTCAGTCTTTAACGCTCGCATCACAATTAAGATGCTGTGGCTCATCAGCTATGTATACAAAAAGTGTAGCAAACTGCACGAGCACACAGGTGATGGGCACAGACAAAAATAGATCCAGAAGAACCTTGAAATTTGGAGCCTTATAGGAAAATCTGGATGTCCTGGAAATTAGATAATACAGAGTGTGTGAAAATACTTGTGTCGTAATTCCCTTCTGCACACAGTTAAAAAGAAACCACCAAGACAAGTCAGAATTTAATCCAATGTAAGAACTAAAACAAGTTAAATCAGCATCAGTGGTTTCTTTTTCTCATTTGTTTTATTTGGAGCACAAAATATAATTACACCTTGAGATATACAAATCACATTTGCACCATTTTTTGTTCCGTTTCAAAGAAAGATGGCTTCAAAAAACATAATATTAAATTGCTAATAATTTTTAAATAAATAAAATTAACCAAACTCTAAACAAAACAAATTTGCAAACGTCACATACTCTTTGTGTTCTTTGTTTTCACGTCCTGAGAATGAAGTTTGTGTTGTGATGACAAAAATCAATGAGTAAGAACAGCATGATATGGGTTAATGAACACCTAATACGCCCCGTTCTTTTCTACTGAGCAGTTGTGCTTTCATTTACTCTACTGCATAGTGACTAGAGACCTTTGCTGGGTTGAGACATTTAAAATGATGCTGTAAAATCTATAAGTTGTAGTCATATACATTTAAATTTGCAATGTGGAATTAAATAATATCAGGGCATCGGTGTGACAAAGCATGCATTATAAGTGAAATTAAAAAGGATAAGGCTAACTAACATTTTTCCTTTACACAAGGACAATAACCCTCTTTAACTGTGGGACTTTGTTATGCAAGAACCTGCAAACAGGGGATGTTTTAGTCCAAATAACTGAGTTCATCTTGTCCACCAAAAAAATCCATTCCCTCTGATTCTGCAAATTCATTGGCAATTGTTGAGATAACTTCATTTCAGTAACAGTTGGAAAAGGACCACTTTATAAAAACACATTTATATTATTCCCTAAACTAACTATAATAAGTTAAATTGCTTGTTCTTAAATAAATCAATATATGAATTCCTTTAGTAATAACCCTTGAGACAAAGAGTTCTCCCTTGTAAAACCGTAGAGATCAGAACAAAAAATAAAGGGTCTATTTTTCTGGAATGTAAATTGTCTTCAAAAAGTCTACTAGAAAAAAACCTCTCGCTAACTCACAGACAGTGTACACACATGCCATTGAAGGTGTCCATACACAGACAAAATAGCACCCTGCTTTTTAGAGCTGCAACATTATATCAGAGTTGTCCGTCATCCAGCAGCGCTCTCAAAACGCGTCCTGTGCCTCTCTGGCGAAGGTTTGGGCGGGTGTTGGAAGAATCGAATACTGCATGTGATAGCAGGCCAGAGGTCAATACAGATGCTTTTGAAGCTTGAGGTGAAAACAGGACCGGTTCTCCTGTTTCCTTTCAAAATGCAGATGCTTCATTACACAAAACAGCAGTAATATGGTCCAGTCTGGTGCTGTTAGCTAAGGAGCTTGGTCTGTCTGTAGCTGAGGGTGGAGTAATCTCCTCTGCCTCTGGAGTAGATGGCTGGTCTTTGGACATTTTTCGTACCCCGTCCCGTTCATCCGCATGGATGAAAAAGGGACTAAGAAATGGCGGGAGGGGGTTTGGGGTTGGGGGCTCAGGGAGGAAAGTGATACATGGTCACTAGTGAACAATTTTCCATTCTCCCTGCCCTCTCAGTGCCAAAAGAGGGGCTAAGTGAAGCAGTGGTCTGGGGTAGATTGGGGTGGGTGCTTTGCTACATCGGGGGAACAACCAGGCCCGTCATCGCTGGAGAGAAAAAAATATACAAAATCTATGATTCTAATCAATCAGGTCTTGCATTAATGTACATCCAGCAACTGTTCTCTGTCTTGTTCAGTCATAGCTTTCGAGTGGTTAGTATGAGGGGTTAGACTGCATTCGTAAGTTCAGACAGGGGGGTCAGATAGTGAGTTGGGTGGCTACCTCTGAAGCTGTTCCCCCCTGAGGCAGGGCAGGCAGGGGAGGGAGAGCCCTGGGGCCTGAGGACAGGAGCAAAAGCACTCTTCTGTTTAGCAGCAGACGGGAAGGAGGAGAAAGGCAAGAGAGACGATGAGGAGCTGGAGCTTCCTGGTATAGTGGGGCTGGAGGGCATTACTGCGGAACAGAGAGCAACAGTCAGTCTCAAGTCTGAAAATCACAACAGAATCAGCGGTGCAGGGTAAATTAACAAACACATTTAGAGACAATTAGAGAGCACGTGAGGTCTTACTATAGGGTGAGCCTGTGGGGGAGGCACTGCTGAAACCAGGAGAACCAGGAACTCCTAGGCTGGTCATGGGAACTGTCCCATAGCCTCCGGTCATCCCGCCGCCGCCGCCGTAGCTCGACTGCTGAGGAGTGGAGGCTGATGGGTAACCCCTAGGTGACAAACTGCTGGAGTTTCGAATGTAACCTGGATGGAAAATGTTGAGTCAGATCTGAGCTTCATTTGTGGAAAAAAAAACAGAAGCAGGGAATAGAGTTTGGCTCTTTCTGCTCACCTTGGCTGCTCTGTCCTGGCTCCCCGATGCTAACGCCTAACTGAGAGGGGTAGGAGCCCAGACCCATGACACTGCCGTGGGCTGGTGAGCTTGGCAGCGCCTGCAGCTGACTGTGAGGACGGGGAACACTGTAAAGTGCCTCGGCAATGTCAGCTGCACGTTTCAGCAGCATGTCCTGCAGGAGATCAAATGCAACGGTCACAATTGAGTCAATGAAAGATGATGCAGTTTGGTTAGGTGGCTCTGCTGACGGTTGTCCAACTGCTGCTTGCATTCAAGTGTTTGTTATAAACGCACATATCTGAGCACAGGGAGTCAGCTGCCAAACAGTCACTTGGCTGCCACAAACTACCAGTGTGCTACAATGTTTGCTTACAATGTTTGCATACTGTTTATCTTATGGGCCTTTTTTTTTTTGACAGCATACAGCTGAGCCACTGCAAAGCTTTTCAAAACAATCCCTACTCAGAACTGTATTATAATTTTATAGGAATTTAACAAACAAATAAAGCCGTCTAAATATTAATTCTGGTGGATTACCTGTGTCACAGAGGTTTCAAATCTCTGTAATTTAATTTTTTTTCATACAGTACTGGATTGACTGGAAAGCTATTGATTGAACAGTTAATGGGCTAAAACAAAATCAGTGATGTAGTCTGTTAAATATCTGCGTGTTCTCTGAATATGTCATGTGTCTTTACCTGATTACTATGTGGATTTCCATACAGGGCCTCCACAAGATCTGCAGCTCTTTTCAGGAGGATTTCCTGCAAGGAACAGAATTTATTACATTAATATCTTAATAAGAGTAGTGTGCAAAGTTCCTTGACAAGTAGTAATGAGCATGGCAAGATCTTTTATTTAAGAGTCTCTCACCTTAGCTAGTTTCTCTGGATCACCAGGATGTCGAGGGATGACCTTCTGAAGACGCTGGAAGCCATAGTCTATAGTTGGTTCATTTAGAGCTAAGAAACATAAAGTACACCAAACCTCAGTCACACTTCATCAAAACCTAATATTTAAAATTCCTCAGACTGTGGATAAAATGGGCAAAAAGAGCACAACGCGTTGTCTTAATACCTGTGTAGATGAAGCGTCCAGGAGCTCCCTTGCAGAATTGTTTAGATTTATAAGACAGTGTGACCTCCACAACCCCGGGGATGTGTCGAGGAGGCGTCTGGACACGGATAGCGTGTGGTGTGATCAGCTGAAGATACAGCACAGAAATTGTGTCACAAAACAGCAACAAATGATTCCTTCCCATGCCTTGTAAATATTTAGGCTAACACAATACTGTGGAAAGATTAATTTATGTAGACTCCCCATAAATCATCTAAATAATGAGACAAGCCATATGCTATATATATCATTTCAAACTGTGCTTTAGACTGTATCATTAGTGAGATGTTTTGAAGACAATTCCTACCTCACTCCACACCAGCATGCTGCCAAACACCACCTGCAGCCCGTCAAAGAAGTTCTCCCCGATGACGATGACCATGGCCCCGCCGGTGGTCCAGCCCTCACTGGGACTGATGGCTTTGATACACGGGGTAGCTGGATATGAGAGCAAAGCAAGATTTACTGTGAGGGTTTCAAAACGGGACACAAGAATTGGAAAAAATAGAGGATGATAGAATGTGTTTGTAATGGGTGTCTCAGGAAGAATGTGTTGATGGTGCTCTTTAGTTTGGGCTTTAGTCTTAAGTTCTGAGGCAATGTTTAAAGCAAAACAAAAAAAATTTTGGTTAAAAAGCTTGCATTATTTCATTTTTACTTAAACTCAGTTTCATTCATGATGTGGCGTTTATCCATGGATAACACCACAAATTGCAACATGATGAACAGGGAGTTAGAAAAGGTCCATATCAAATGTCAAGAAGTCACAGAATCTGAAAGCAAGGCAGTCATCTATAACAGTGAAAAAAAAGCTATGCAAAAATACAGGCTACAAAGACACAGGCATGGTGCTGAAATAAGTGTAAAATGATTTAAATCTAACTTGAGTAAAAAATATTGTAGTATTATTTACATAATGTACTTAAAGTATCACAAGTTAAAGAACTAACAAGAGAAAAATGGCCCCTGGGTAGTTAATTCTATAACAGTCCATCATATGTTTTGTATGTTGAATATTAACAAGAAAGTACAATGTAAACTACAGGTATCTCTGAATTGTACTTAAGTACACTACTTGAGTAAATGTTTGGAGATAAATATGACTAGTTGACCTACAGCTGGTTAAATTATGTTTTAAATTGATTTAAGATCAGATACTATGTTTATTTTATATATTTAATTAATGCATCAATTAGCTCAGTTAATGACCTCAGTAGCATCACTGGTAATGTTTGATATATCATGGTGATTATAAATGGACATTAAGCAACCTGCTATTGGATTTCTATGGATGACTCTGTACAGTGTTTCTGAACGTGAATGATGAAGCAGACGCGTAGTGAAATAAAAAAGATAAATGGGGTGTGACATTGTAGCGTTGCAGTGTCAGTGTCTTACCATATTCCATAGTATTCTCAGCAGACTCGCCTGGCTCCAGTCTGCGGGCTCTCCGGCCGTGTTTTGAGTTGTTGTGAACGAACATGTTGTCAGACACTGCTAGGACATGGCCATCTACACACACAGTGCTGGACAGGACCACCTGATAGAGAGGACGAGAGCCAAGAGGAAGATGCATGAGTGTAGATGCACGACTTGGACAGCACGCTGCGAGTCACAGTCTCCAGTTACTGCAGCAAAATCCCTGAGCAACAATTTGTTTCGGCATACAGGTGATAGTAATATTTCTCAATATGTAATGTGACATCTCTGGGATCTCCATAATATGTCTGCATTCTGGCGATGACACTGCTCATACACCCCTCCACTCCTCCATCAGGTCTCCATATGGCCTCTCCGCCGCCTCTTGCCTAACTTTTTGATTCATACAGCATGCAGCAGGCTCATCGTTGTCTCCTCCTGATCCTTCAATGACACCAAACATATGGACGAAATCTCCCATTTTAGCCGGCCGTTAAAGCAGTGGATGATATATAGTGGTCCTAATTTGATTTTCTGGCCGCAGCATGTGTGTGTCCTTTCCCACATCTGCCTTGCATGGCTGACACACATATAATTAATGAGAGGATACTTGTAGGTTTTTCTCTTTGGATATTTATGAGTGTCGATGTGATACTATTTCTGAAAATGATAATGAGTTTGAGTGTGTGTTTACGAACATGTTTTTGAGAGTTAGAGGGAATGGGTCAGTGAGAAAAAGTTAATTAAATAGTAAACCATAAATATTTTATGCATCTTCAGAAAATCAGACAGCGAAGATAAAACCTTGCACTCCCTTCGAAATAAAACACCTGGCAGTAATTTTGCAGGTGAAGGAACATGAGAAAGGAAAGGAGAAAAAGCATATGTGCTATAGGTGGTGGAAAGGAAGGGGAACTTAAAGGAAAATAACTGTAAATTATCGATCAAGCAGCAGACTCCTGTCCAGCTCTGATCACCTTTTAACCCAGAGATGAGAGTCCTGTGTGCTCATAACTTCTCAGCATGCGTCCCATAGCAGGAGTTAAAGCAAACATGGCTGAAGACCGGGGGAGCTCGAAGAGGAGGAAAGGACAGAGGGTTTGCTGGGAGAAGGAGAATGCCAGACAGGGGCCGCTGGTGCTGAAAGACGGCAGAGGAAGTGAGGCGGGAGTGTCCCTCGTGACCACTTCCTGGGTCACGGAGCATGACCTCCTCCATCTGGAGCCAATCACTCAATTTTTGACAACTTCCTGAAACACCTCAACCTATTTCCTGCACCCCAGCACCCCAATGACCAAGTCTCCCACATATCTAACTTCTTTCGTTTGTCTTTCCATCTCTCTGACTTCTTATTGATTTTTAACTTTCACTTCTAACTCCCCCCACTATGTCTTCGGTTTGAAAAACTTTTCCAGAGCTTCACTATATGAGAACATAAACTCGACTTAGAACAGACTGGACAACAAATTAATTATTCAATCGTTCTGTAAGGATGGAGGGGCACCCACCTTCCCTCTTTCCGTTCACACACAAGCATACACATACATTTTTTTTTTTTTTTTTCATACCTGAAATCTCCTCATATCCCTCGGGTTTCCTGCTGTCTTCAGACAATTCTGGTTACATTTCAGGAAAAACTTCAAGAAAAACCTGCAAAGGTAAATAAGAGGACACGTGTTTGTACATCAGCAACTAAGAAATCACATGAAAGAACCATGTATATGATTATTTGCAACCCTGCAACACACTCGCAGTCAAAGGAGACAGTCATTATTTTTTAGAGACAGGCATGGCGCGTGTACATGAGTGTGTGTGTGTTTGTGTACATCTATATGATTACAGCTCTGGCATCAATCCCAGCTGTTTAGCTTAGTATTAAAGTCAATGTTATTACACTTTAAATCAAGTGATGAGAATCTGAAGCACAGTCCAGTGAAAAGCACTGCTGTGTTTCAAAGTAAACTGGAGACAGTGATGTATGCCAGGGGACTCAGGGGACCATGGTATCCCGCAATGCTGTGTTTGAACCCCCACATGGGAATGGAGAGGGAAACGAAGTAGAGACAACTACAGAGAAAGTGAAATGAGGAGGTGGAAAGAGGAAGGTAGTGATGTGATAGAGGCACAGGATTTGGTATGGACATGAATTGTGTTTTCAAGTATATGTGTCTCATTACGTATGTGAGCTTACTTTTGAGTGTGATAGAGTGTGGAGACAGAGAGGGAGTGAGGGGTGCTGATAGCCCCTGCTACACCAAAAGAAACCTGAGAGAAGGTGGAATAAATAGGAGCGAGGGAGACTATGGAGAGAGACTCCAAATCCCAGGTGTACACAGTTCGGCAACACAGCCCGCTGCCATGGCAACGAAGCTCTGCCGCAATCCCAAAGTCCCCATGCTGAGAGGCAAAGACAGCGATGGGAAAGAGAAGGCAACAACAAGAAACACATTCCAACACTGAAATACAGCGAGGAGGGAGGAGAGAGACTTGGCAAGGTGAGATGCAGGAAAGTATATCAAGAGTGCAGGTGCAGACGAGGGTGAGAAGAACCACACAAATCTCATGGAGAGGAGAATTTAGACAGACGATGTATGTTAAAGCAAAAGAAAAGAAAAATGAGCTTGGAAATGATGCAGGGTTGAGATATAATTATGGCAACTGTCAAATATATAGCCCTGAAACCAGATGTCCACTGCACTTCACAGTGAACACAGTTCTGTCTTGCCTATGAAAAACACATCCATTAATGTTCCAATTAAACAAACAACAACAGTGCAGAAGAAAAATGCTGCAGAGGGAGGCCGCGGTTTTGGGCTACATGGGTAGCTCCAATCCCACCCACACTGTGCTCTCTGCAAATATAAGTCATCTTAATGGAGAGTGGTTGTTTGGAGAGGAACTTCATATTGGCCCCACAGCCCTGAACCCTCCCATCGAATACTAATCTCTCCCTCATTCTGTCAGCTTTTATTCGCTATTCTTCCATCACTCGCTCCAGCTTCCTCCCTTGTGAACAGGACCTGGCTTGCAACTAGCTCTCAGTTCCAACAGTGTGTCCAATATTTCTTGATTTGAGCTATTTCATCGGAGGACAATCAATATTGTTGTTGGCAGAGGGTGATTATAATTTATCAGTGAGAGCTCGGACCTCCAACCTCAAAGCTGCACTAAACTTCAGATTGGGGTGGAAACATGTAAAAGGACACATCTGCGCCTCTCCCACTTCCTCTTTCTATTTCTTTCCTCATCGATGTCTGACTCTGTCAGCCTTCCTTACATCTGCCTGCTGGACACCATGACGGAAGCATCACTGGATTTAAACACTATATATTTGCTGCAAGGCACAAGGAAAGTAATACTGTTAGTTTCTTGACTCTGAAAAGAGACCACAATCAGAAGTGTTCTATTTCATTTTACTGCCTCCTTTGAGGGTCATACAATATGTACATTATATCCTGGGCAATGATTCTTACATTATGGCTCATTATGGCTATAGCAGTCATATATAAGAGGGTAATTCACAATGCACAGGAACCATATTTTTGATTTAATAACCATGTACATGGTCTGGTTGTGGTTTGGTAACACTAGTTTCCTTGCCACTTCCATTTTTGGCTACTTAAAGGTCATCTAACCAGCAGTCATCACTCATTTTACTGACGGACATGATATATCTGTACAGCAGTGATGCTTCAGATAGTGAAATCACAACCCTAATTGAGAGGTTGTCTACATCCATCTCAGGCTTTGTGCACTTTCTGAGGGTTCTTGACCTTGTTTGTTGACTTCTTCTCATCATTCCCTGTTTGTATGACACCAGATGCCTCACATACACATACACACACACACACAAAAAACACGCATTCACATGCATGCATGCACACTCTAATACATTGACACCCCCACCTTTGCCCCCCTCCCAAAAACCCATTGAGTCAACTTTTCACCCCCCTCAGTTCGGACGCACACAGCTGCAAATGCTGAAATTAAAGCGAGACATTGACGCATATATTAGCATGCATTAGCCGCTTCCCCCTGCCCACTTAACATGCAAATCTCCCAGCCCCGTCGCCTCGCACCTTCTGCCACACATTCATTTGCTGAATTATAATTAGACTAATCTTGCATAATTAATAAGAAGTCGAGGACCCTCTGTTTTTTATCCCCTCCTCTATTGTGGTTGCAGAAGTTTAATATTGCTGTTGTTTGTTTTTGTTTTGGTAATGTAATACACCCACACACCTCCCCATCCACAGGGAAGAGATGAGCAGAGCATGCAAAGAATCTGAGGTGATCTTCATGTCACAGGGAAATTGCAAAGAAAGGCTTTTTTCAAAGAACTCCACTAGCTTTAGCGTGTTTATATTTAATGTGCGCCTTGTTCTGTACATTTACAGAATATTCCCTTCTATAATGCAGGTGTAAAATGGTGCTTCTGTTTGATTAAAACACTGTCATGTGAGTAACATAGTGTGATAAAGCTAATGGGAAACAGGGTTCAACTTTTAAACTGTCATACATGTCCATGATAATGATTATTTTTCTCTTTAATTGCAAGTAAATTTTATAAAGCCGGGGAACAAGCACAAGTGGTATTGATTTCTAACAAAATGTGACACCAAAACTTGATGAGTGCAATTTCACATAGTCTGCTTTGGTCAGCAATGGAAACCGAGTTTTTTCTTCTGCAACACCTACCCCTTCAGAGGCGCACTTAAAACAGGAAACACAAACAAAACATAGACCCAAGTCTTAAACCTTGGGATCATTTTCCACTGCGGCACCACAGGGAGTCTGTTTTTTCTTTTCTGTCTTCACTTCTGCATCTCTGTCAAAGCCTCCGATCCCTTTTGTCTGCATCTGCTTCAGTTCCCAAGACTAAACACAGGCCTCGCGGCGTGAGGCAGCCATCCCAATGGTGACAACTTGCTTAACTAAAATTAGTTCAACGACCAACCAGAAAGTCATGACACTAAAAACAATAAAAGAGATGCAGCTTTTTGTAAAATTTCACTCCTCATTGTGGATGCTCAGTTTCACATTTCTCAGTCCATGGGGCATCTGTTACACATAAGTGTTACTCACTATGTTTTACATATGGACCTAATCATGCAGTGAGCACCTAAGCAGCACAGGACCCCTAACAAAAATTTTCATTGGCATTCATCAGCACTAATCACTGTTGACATAAACTGCATTTTCACATAGACATAAAACACATCGCCCTCTGTGCTCATTGTAAATGAAGGTTTACTGGTAGCAACGGCTCTTGAAGCATGTGAGCAGGCGATGCAAAAGGTTTAAAAGCAGAGTTCAAGTTAGCAGCACAGCTAGAAAACTTTCACCACGCCTTTCCTTTTCTGGGGTTGCCTTCAGCCTTCAAATTTTGGTTTAGTGCACCGCAGATGACAAATTTATGCGTTAATACAAAAATATGGGAGGAAAAAATTTGAAGGAAAGAATGAGGAGGATGACATTGTCATCATTTTTGTTCAGCAGACGCGGATGCCCTGCTGCTCAGGCATAAGGAAAAGAAGTGAGGAAACATGAGGACAAAGAGGTGGAGACAGGAAAAAGAGCTACTCCTTTTCATCCCCTTCATACTGTACATGTAACCCCTGCTCCACTCCATAATGCCTAATAGATAGCGGGTGTAGGAAATCCAAAGAGACTGCACAACAAGAAAAAGAGGAAGAAGAGGAAAGGCAGAGACAGAGACAGAGGAAGAGAGGGAGAATGTTGATGTCTTGTATTCAGGGCCATCACTCATCAAACATCCCCTCCACCACCATCACCCTGAAAAAACAAAACAGTGTCCTGACATCGCAGTGGAGGGGAGCCGAGGGGAGGGCAAGGGAGTGAAGGAGGGAGGCAGGGAGGAAAATTAGGAAACCAGATGTGGAGCATTAAAACATACTGACATGCTGAGGGCCTTCCTCTGCCACACTCACACACTGAGCGCACTAACTCATACAGCAGGCCCAGATACATGCACGTATGTATGTTTATGTCACACACAGGCTGTACAAGCCACACACACACACACACACACACACACACACACACACACACACACACACACACACACACACACACACACACACACACACAAACACATGCATGAGTTCACAGAAAAATACACAAAGACAAACACTGACTTGCAAGCAACCATGTGTGCACAATCAATCATGCAAACTTATACACATTAGCAAAAATGATGCCTCAAAAACAAAAGTCATAGATGTGCTGGGTGGTTTTTAATAAAGCATGAATGTAATGGGCCAAAAAATGCCGTAGCTTATGGCTGTGGACGAGGATTTGGATAAACCGCTGTTGACCTAAGAATGTTTCACGCCAAGGCACAGATCTACAGATGGGTCGTCATGCATCAGTGTATGGATATGCATCCAATTAGTACATGTACCCAGACCGAGGAAAGGCTAGGGGGGAGGGATGGAGGTGTTTTGTTTTCCTCCATGGGGAGAGCTGTGTTTGGGGGATGGAGTGGGGAGGTGAGGGGGGGAGGAGGGGGGGTTAGTAATAAATACCCCTGGACCCAGGTCCCCTGGCAGACTGGAAGCTAGACTGGTCACCAGGGTTAACACCCGGGGCACATGACCTTTGACACTGCTAATGGGGCACAGAAAACC